GGGTTTAGGGTTTAGGGTTGACAGGGGTTAAGGTTTTGGGTATGTATGCATATATGTATGTATGTATGTGTGTGTATGTATGTGTATGCGTATATGTATATGTATATTATGTATATCTTCAGAAGTAGTTACTAAGTAGTTTAAGTACATGAAACCAAATAAACAAACAATAAACACACATCGATAATCATCTAAGTAGTGTGTCTATACATCTATTCTTATATGTGGAGAGAGAGAGAGAGAGAGAGAGAGCGAGCGAGCGAGAGAGAGAGAGAGAGAGAGAGAGAGACAGAGAGAGAAAGAGAGAGACCGAGACCCTAACAATGCACATGCCACCGCACCCTGCTTGCATGCACCTGCCGCTTGGCTTCACGGTTCACAGCACGGAGGACTAGCGACTTCCTGGCCGTGGAAGGAACATGTAGTTGCATTCTAAGGTAAGCATATATGTCTATATAGTCAAACTCAATAGTTACACGTACTTATAATCATATCTATGTCTCTGGAGATCCCTCAAAAAAGAAACGAATAAACCAACGAACACGAGGACAACAGCAGTACCCACTAGTCTTAAAGTATATGGGCGAGAAATTGTTGAAGGTTCGGTTCAGGGCTTCAGCCTGCCACGCTGTGGACTGAGTATTCAAGCCTCAAGGTTGGGGGACTTCAGCTTCGCGGTTTAGGCTACCTAAAGGCTCATACCCTACCCCTTTTTTTGGGGTACCTAGTTTTATGGTTAGGATCTGTTATATGAAAAAGCAGGTACCCCCAAAAGGGGGTAGGGTATGACCCTATAGGTACTTCCTTGTGTTTGTTTTCTGGAGCTCTTTTCCGTCTCTTCGCCTATACTCATGCTGATTCTGGACCTACATGAGCAGAGCTGCATTAGAGGTGTACAGTAGGGTTCAGAATCAGGGTGTTTGGACTTCGAGATCTACGTTTTCGGATTCCATTTCACCCTGCAGCCATCACCGGGTTACTCAAATCCTTATATCGTAAGTTCGTCAAATCCGCAACTCCAAAACACCCAGCCCCACCGTCTAAAATGTAGCCGTCCACATCTCCAAGAATTTGCCAGCAGGACCCTGTTCCAGCAGCGCCTGCGATACGTGTGTGTGTGTGTGTGTGTGTGTTGTTTACGCGTCGGCATGTACATGTGGAGCAGTGCTGTACCTCGACCTCCCGGTTGACTTTGATGACACGCTCGCTCTACACTCTATATATAGGCCCCATAGTAGTTCCTTTTTGGGATTACCTTATAGGATTCTCAATATGAACCCCAAAAAGGAACTACTATGGGGCCTATGGGTACACATCGAATTACATGGGCGTATATTGTGTACTCCGAACAAGCTTCTCGGTAAATATGACAGTGGCCCTCCAACTCGCGCTGGGTTCAGAAAGCCACTAGATCAGAAGCAACTCGATGTACCCGGCTTAGGATTGTTGTTGTGGCTGTACAGACAGAGGTTTATGGGTTTGAGGGCTTCAAAGTGTCCACGTACGAAGGCAGCTTTTGTTTAAATTGTAACCCCTGAACTGGCCCTAAACCCAAAACCCAAAAAAAAACCCAAGCCAAAGGCCGAAGTATGTCATACAGGCAAGTATATAGGTAGCCTGAAGTCCAAGAACGCGAAGTGTGCAATGTCCAAATCACGAACAACTTCCTGGAACCTCACCTCACCCCAAACAAAACAACACAAAACACAACGAAACAAAACGAAACACAACAAAACAACAACCGAAACAACACAAATCAACAACACGACAAAACAAAATTCGAACCAAAACAACGCAAAACACAACAAAACAACAAGCATATCAGATCAACACGAAACAACACATAACGACTAAGCTTCAATCTGCAAAGCTTCCAACCCAAAGCTCCAAAGTCTAAAGCCTCAGCCCTAAACCCCTAAAGCCCTAAAGTCTAAACCCTACTAAACCCCGAACCCCAAAAAACCCTAAGCCCAAAGCTCTAAAGTCTGAAGCCTAAACCCCGAACCCCTAAAACCCTAAGCCCAAAGTCCTAAGCCCTGAACCCTAAAATCCCTAAAACCCTAAGCCCAAAGTCCTAAGCCCTAAACCCCTAAGACTCTAAGCCATAAGCCCTTCCAGGCCGATGCTCTGAATTGCAAGGTTCATCCCCAAACCTCAGGGGATACGGGATACCATAAGGGTTCCTTCAAGGGTTTTAGGGCTTAGGGTTTTAGGGTTTTGGGGTTTTGGGGTTTAGGGTTTAGGGCTTTTGGGTTGGGAGTTTAGGGTTTAGGGTGTTAGGCTTTAGGGGTTTAGGATTTAGGGAAACTGCTAGGGTTCCTTTAAAGGTTTAAGGGATACTAAAGGGGTTCTACAAGGCATTATGTAAGGGCTACTATACGGGTTTGGATTCCGATCTTTGGGTTTCCAGACCTTCACAGAAGGTTTTGAGGGCTTGGGCCTATTACGGATTTCCAAAGGCGCTTCTGTAAGATATGTTGGGAATTGCAGAAGGTTTTTGTTCCGGCTTTCTTCTTTCATCGCGTATATAGCTATAAGGGCTTTATCGCAAGTACTCTGTATGGGCAATGACTATTCAGGCCATTAAGGCTCGAGGGGTTCAAGGGTTTAGGGCTTAGCGTTTCAGCCACCAACATCAACACATTGGCCTCAAGAACTTAGTGCTCGGCTGAGCCACCTTACTGCACAGGAGACCTTAGAATTGGAAGCTCAACTTCAAACCACTCGTCAAAATCTCAGACTACATGCCGCTTGTTTCTGCTGTGGGGTCTATCCGAACCCAGACACACTTGTTCCAGCTTCACTGCGATACAACCTACGCCCCGTTTCAATTATTCAGGAATCGGGCCCCTCCAATCTTTTCGTCGGCTTTTGGAATGGGTTTCAGAGCCGCGCGCCTGTGAGGAACAGGCTCCTTCCCCGCCTCAGGGAAGCAAAGCCGACGAGTCGGGTTTAGCCTTATACCGTGTGCCGTGTTCCTGCAGGCTCTCTGTAAGGCTCTATGAGGATTGTTCTAGGTCTTCAAAGGAGCTTGACTGTAAAAGGGTTCCGTGTACCTCCCTAAATCCTAAACCCTAAACCCTAAACCCTGAACTACTAACTAACGAAGGCTTTTGAGGCATCGGCAGCATAGTGCTCGAGGGTTCCCGTTGATAGTGGGGGTTTTGGACAAGTGCAGGAATTGTTGCCCTGGTTTTTGATCAAAAGACAGCATCTCTATCTAGCCAACCCTAAACTCCAAGCCCTAAACCCCATGTCCTAAACCTTGAACCCTAAATCCTAAACCCTGAACCCTAAACGCTGAACCCTAAACTTGAAAGCCTCAGCAAGCTCATGGCTGAAGGACTTTAGTTCGGGAGTTTCGAGTCTCAGAGATGCTGGAGTGTGATGTAGGGTTACCTATAGAGACGTTCCTGTCTCGTTCCTTTCTTGGGGTAAACCAAGTTTAGATTTAGGATCCTAGAAGAGGTTCCACAAAGGAATTACGATGGAGACTGTAGATAGGGGTCGTGTCTAGGATTTATGGCTTATAGGGTTTAGGCGTCCGACTGGGCTTCCGTACCCTGGGTAGGGTTTAGGGTTTAGGGAGGGTCCATGTACCCTAATACGGTTGATGATATAAATCCGGCATTACCCAGTGCCCCAGAAAGAACCCGTAAACGAACCCCCCAAAAGAACCCTACACTTTGGGTACCATGGACCCTCAGGGCATGCTCACCCATGGCAATTACATGCTGGGATACATTTCTGGCCTCTTTGGGTTTTCTGATCCTTTAGCAACCCTAAACCCTCAACCCAAAGCCCTGAACCCTAAACGCTGAACCCTAAACGCTAAACCCAAAGCCCTGAACCCTAAACCGGGTTATGCGATGTTTGTTGCAACTTTACTCGGGACCATAAGGTTCCCTGTCCGACGGGAAACCTGTCAGTCAAACAGGGAGACAGAAAGATGGAGGGAGAGAGAGAGAGGATAGGGTTTTAGGGTTTAGGGTATGAAGAGAAAGACCGAGAGAGAGAGAGAGAGGGACATCTAGAGAGAACAACAACAAAAACAGCAGCAACAGCAACAGCAACGCCAACAACAACAGCAACAGCAACAACCACAGCAACAGCAACAACAACAAAACTGTCTTGACTCAAAACCTATGTCTATATCTGCTGTGTTTGTTAGCCAGCCGGGAGGCAAGACCAAATCCACCACTGCCCGCTGCGCCGGCGTCAGCTCCGGATCAACCTTCGGCTTCGCCTGCGGATCAGGGTTGTACCTAATACAGGGGCTTTACATAATTCTAATAGGGTTTTGGGGCCCATTATACTATAATTATAATAAGGAACCCCCAAAATAGTAGTAGTAATTATTGAATATACTAAAATTATAATCAGGAACCCCCCCCCAAAA